TGCATCATCTCCAGACACATCTGAACCAGCATTATCATTCCCATTTGCACCTCCATCTTCCACAGAATCCTCTTCATCATCGCCCAAGTCGACATGCGCAGCGTGTACTTTTGGCCTTTTCATAATCTCTGCAAGCTGCAATCTACCGCTTCTTCGAATCGGTGAAGCCATTACAACAGATTTCTTGCTGCGCTTTGAACTTCTTTTCAAAGCAAGATCTGCAGCCCCAACAAAAAAAACCAAAAACAAAAACTCATAAACAAGGATACAATGCCAAATCACAACAAAAAACATAAAAATGCCAATGTGGTGTTTGTGTGGCCACCCAAACAACCATTCCACATCAAACAACAGCAAACTAGAATATCCAAACCATTATACACTTTAAATAACCAAACACTTATGTATTAGTATGAAATGCACAAAATTTAAATACACAACATTTCAATAAACCTAAACATAATACCAATCACAAAGCAGACTAATAACCAACAGATTGATATAGTACCATATTATTAACAAAGCTAGATGCACAGTAAGTCCCCATCAGTGCTAATATTGAACCATGCACTGTACAAAGCTAAAGAAACACCAACTAATACAGTATATGCATCAGTCCGCACCCACAATCCGTGACTGCATCTATAACATTTTCCTCACACACACTATCACAATTGCTCAGACCAAAACATGCCTTTTATTCATCCCAAATGAATCCCATAAATATATAAAATGCAGACAAAGTATATAACTATTAGGATTGCAATTCACAGTATTAGTAACAAAATGAAAACTAAACAATAGCTCTTCATTTTGTTTGCATTTTGTTACTAATACTGTGAATTGCAATCCTAATAGTTATATACTTTGTTTGCTCTTCATTTTGTTTGCTCTTCAGCCACACGATTGAACTAATCCTAGGCTCCTAATTCATTCTTAGTTCTTTCATTGACATATATTCTTATTAGAACCCACCCCTATATATATATATATATATATATATATATATATATATATATATATATATATATATATATATCCACCATGCAGTTGATCCACACCTGAGGCGTTATGGGTGTTATTCTAAAACATAATTAAAGTTCCATGAATTAAATGTTAAAAGGACACGCTTTATTTTAGCAAACATAAGTATTGAAGTTGATACTTGTTTCTATTAAACATCTCATACTCTCTGCTAACATCTCATACTCTCTGCTAATTCAGGATTTTGTTATATCACTCTCTAGCTGCAGGTTTGAATTCCAAAAAAACCTTAACAACAGGAATTTCATAACCTATTTAAAAAAGAAAAACATACAAATGACTAATATTGGCAAATTGTAATGTCACCCTTACAAAAGTCGAGTAAATAAAAAACATGCATCAAAGTATTTGCAGTCTGTTCAAAAATTAATATGATGACAGAATTGGTAGAAGACTTGCATCACCACTTTGATGTCTCCACCAACACAGAACCGACTTTTATTGTCAACAATGGCATAATTCTAATCTTCCAAAACGGAGTCAGCTTTTGTAGTTTGCAAAACCAAGATTCTTTATATATTAAAATGGCACCTTCAACAAAGGCAGTATGATACAAAAACTAAAGAGCATACTTCATCAATATCAATACAATTTCCATACTAAATACTCCCTCCGTCCCAGAGTATTTGTCCACTTTCATTTTTACACACCATCCAATGCACTTCTTTAATCCATTTTATCTTGTAATTTGTATATTAAAAAATTATAGAAATTATATATTAATAATCTATATGTTAAGACAAATCAAACAAGATCACACATGACTATATTTAGGCTTACACATTGATAGAATTTGATGAGTCAAAGTGCTTAGATGAATAGTTCCAAAAGTCAAAAGTGGACAAAAACTGGGGGACGGAGGGAGTAGTACTTTATTGCTTTCATGTTGCTCACATCTTATGAACGAAGACACGCACAACTTCATTAAAACCTAGGCTTCAAGAAAATGAAAAACAGAACACTTGAATGCATATAGATCAAAATGTTTGGCAGCCTTTTGTGTGCAAATAAATTATTAAAATACAATCTAGAAGGAATATCTAGTCATTACCTTAATGTGTGGTTGGAAAACAGGATGACAATGAGACACCAATACTAATCTGCTGAATAGAAGGAATTCGATCTTCATGTTTGACATATAAGACATGTTCTGATATAGGACAACAATATAATTTCATTAAATTTTATTATCAAATACATAGTAATTAGTAAAGGAGATTAACAGTTTGACAAATATGAACAAATTCAGAGTTATTAAGCCTGCTATGTTTCTTCTACAGCGGAGTATGTAACACAACAATACAATTCTATTATATTGTTAAGTACAAACACAAAGTAAAATTTTGAATGAATAAACACAATGTAATTTTAATTGGAAAATTCGTAATCCACAAAACAGAGTATATAAGACAACAATACAATTTTATTAAATCTAATATCAATATAGTCAATTTATGGAATAGAATATTGAATATTACAGCGGGGAAGTAAAAAATAAAATAATTCGAACTTATTGTTAAATATATTCTTACTATATTTAATATTTGTGTATATTGGTAGCTTCCATAATTTTATAGGGTGTAATTAATATTGTTTCCTATTATCATTAGGAAACTCCTGTATATATATATACACATGTAATCTCCCATAATTCTTATGTGAAAATATTTATTCTTCATGGTATCAGAGCTCTAAAAATTCTCGGCTCCCTCTCAAACCCTAAGTCCTCTCTCTCGGCCATCTCTCTCTCGGCGATCTCCCTCCTGCCGTCCTCTTCCCCTTCTTCGGCAGTCTCTTCTCGCCGGCAACCATGGCCGAAAAATCCTCCGACAATAACAACACCACCAAATCTCCCCATCTTGCCTTCACCACAATCTCTAACATTAAACTCCATATTCCTGTCCAACTCAGTCTCTCAGAACCGAATTACAAAAAGTGGAGTCGTTTGTTTCGTCTCTTGATCCTCCGCTTCAACCTCAAAGGCTACATCGATGGCACAACCCGTGCCTCCTCTGCAGATGATGCTGAATGGTATCAATTTGATGCCTTAATTCAAGGATGGATCCTGGCTACGATCACGGATAAAGTCTCCGACCTTGTGCTCGCCAACAATCTCACTGCTCATGCACTATGGACGGAAATTTACAATCTTTTTCACGACAACAAGCACGCCCAGGCGATGCAACTGGAGCATCGTTTCCGTACAACTGTCAAGGGCCAACTCTCCATCAACGAATATTGTCGTCTTCTCAAGAATCTCTCCGAGTACTTGGACGACGTGGATGCTCCTGTCACCGAACATGCTCTTGTACTCCAGGTTCTTCAAGGCCTTCCTCACAACATCCGGAGTCAAGTTCAATTTTTGCAATACCAAAATCCACTCCCGTCCTTCTTGGAAGTTCGGTCCGCTCTTCTCCTCGTCGAACAGCAACAAACCGACGCCGTCTATGGCGCCGGCGAGCCGACCACAGCCCTCCTCAGCACCGGCGGCGGCGGCGGACATACGGGCAGCGGATACCCGCGAGACCGAGGCGGCGGCCACGGCAGGTCTGGGAGCAGCGGCAGCGGCGGATTTGACGGCGGATATGGCGGCGGCTACGGCGGACGCGGCAGGAATTCCGGCGGTGGCAGTGGAGGCGGCAACCGCGGCCGGGGTCGCGGTGGCGGTCGCGGTCGTGGCAGCGGCGGCAATCACCGGCAACCTTCGGGCTACTCCCCCTGGACAGTTCCCTCCCCTAACCCTGGCCTACTTGGGCCACGGCCCAACACACCCCACCCACTAGCCCAAGCCCATATCCACCAAAGCCCATATTTACCCAACCCATA